GCCCCCCCGCCCGGCTCTCGGGGCGCCGCCGCCAAATCCTCAGCCCCTCATTGGGCACGGGCCGCGGCGATTGCCGGGAAATGCAGTCCGGGCTCGGGGCCCCGGGAGCGAGCGGAGGGCGGGAAGGCGGCAGCGCTAGCGCGTCCGGACCGGAGACCGCGGGCGACCTGGCAGAGAAGGGACAGGAAGGGACGAAACGAAAACAAAACCAGACGAAGGGCGGGCGGGCGAGCAAGCGGGGCGGGGCAGGGCGGGGCGGAGCCTCGAGGCGAGGCTGGGCTCGTGCGTGTCCTTCAGTCTCAGGAAAAAACAGCGCGAGTTTGACGCCATATGGAACTCCTCGGAGTGGCCCTGCCGTGCGGTGCCTGACAGCGGTTGGAACCGACACTTGGGGGCCGGGTTAGGAAGGCTGAGGAAGAGCGGGACTCCCCGCGAGCCTCCCGCGCTGTCTCCGTACGACAGCTGTCACAGAAGGCACCCGTCCAGCGGTCGGCGTCTGGACACGGGGTGGTAACTCGGGGCTCGCGCCTGGGCCGGGCGTGGGGACAGCCTCCGGGGTATGAGTGCCGGAGCCCCGGGGTCCGCACCCTGACTGGGCGGCCGGGCGGCGTCCCCCACGCCGAGCGGGTACAGTCGCGCGCGCTTCCTGCTCGGCCCGCGGCCCGGGGGCTTGTGGGTAGCGCTGAGCACGTCGGCGCCGCCGTCTCCGAGGCCGCCGGGCCGAGATCGCGCCGTCACGTGCAGCCGGGCTGCTCCCGCCAGACCTTCGCGGCGAGGGGAGTGCGGCGTTTGTCCTCCAGGCGCGCCCAAGGAGAGGAGGGACTTTGGGAGGCGGCACTTTAGGCTTCCATCCCCCACGTTCTGGGAAATTGAGAGAAAGCAATAGAAGGTCCCGGGTGAGGGCCACGGTAAAGGAGCCTTGCGGGGGTGTGCAGATGTCTTGGTATTTCCCGGGGCTTGGTGATAATGACAGCGTTGTGGCACAGACGTGAACGTACAAAGGAAGTAGGCAGAAGACACATGAGGAAACCGATGCGTGCTCTGCTCTCTGTTCTGAGAATTTAAAATCATATCACTACTAGACATCATAGTGCTCGGTCTGTTGGGTACCATTACAAGAAATTGCTGATAACTTTATCTTAAAATATCACTTAAGAAATTTGACGATTCTTACAATATGAATTACAAGATGAATTATTTTTTCCGTACTGGAGTTTAAATCCGGAGTTTTCACACTGATCTACAGCCCCAGCCTTTTTTAAAAATAGGATATTGCTAAATCGCTAAACTGCCCCGATAGGGCTTGGATTTGTGATGTTATCTTAATAGGCACTAGTTATGTATTAGTTTGTTAACAAAACCCTTTAATACTAAAGGTGAAGCTCTCTGTGACGCACACTTGTAATCCCAGCACCCAGGAGGTTGAGGTAGGAAAATCTCTGCGACTGGAAGGCTTGCCTGGGCTAAGTAGCTAGTCCAGCGGTGTAGCTAGAGTTCGTGCCGCTTGGGGCTGTCCTGCAATTTGCCGCTTCCAACATACCTGAATGTTAACCCAGTTAAATAGAACATTTAAATCGCAAATAGAGAAACATGTGCAGCCCCAGGGCCGACTGCCCCCTTGGCCCAGTTATGCCATTGTGCAGGATCCTGTCTCAAAAAACAAAATCCTAAGGGTGATATTGAAAATGAAGGGTTTCCATTGATATTAACGTATACTTTTAGTTTTATGTGTTTATTTTGAGAAGCAGTCTCATCTCACTGTCTTGTGCAGGCTGCCTTTTAACTCCTGGGGCTCAAGCGATCCTCCTGCAAAAGTCTCTTGGGTAGGTAGGACTACAAGGCAGGCCCCACCGCCTCACCCTGTTTTTAAACTATTTTTAAACCTATACTTTATGTAGTATCAAAAGTTAAAGATACATTGAAAGTACACTTTTATTATAAATGTGTCTTTTTAAAACAGATGATGAAAAAATAACACATGGTGGACAGGTAGATGAGGTCTACCTGAACTTAGTTTGGCTCTGTCTCCTGAAAAGAGGGCTTAAATTAACTTTATTTTTGTGGATATGGTGGGACTTATAGTCCAAGCACCTGGGAGGCTAAGGCAGGAGGAGTGCCAGGAGTTTCAGGCCAGCCTGATCTACACAGAAGACCTTGTCTCCAAAAGACCAATAAATACATTAAAAAAAATATTTTTTTTCCTATGGTTCCTTCAACTTTCATCCTTTGTTTCCCACCATCCTGGAACCTTGATATGTTGATAAACTGCCACCTTGTTTTAGCACCTGGATTTTCTAGTAAATTGCCCGTGGGGTTTTATTTTAGCCTGCTGCTTTTTTGTGGGGGGGGTGTACCAAAAATCGAACTCAGGACCTTGTGCTTGCCAGGCAGGCGCTTATGCCACTGAGCTATATCCCCAGCCCCTAGTCTGCTTCTAATAGCTATGCTGACAAAAAAGTTTAAAATTGAAATTATATGAAGTAAATGCAGAGTCTTCTTGCAAAACATTAGAAAATACTGTTAATTTTTTTGTCTAGAGCATTATCTAAGGAAATGAGCACTAAGAAAATTTACGTCTAGCATCTAACATAGAATTAATTTCAGTATCTGGCATCTTCTGAAGTTGGGAACATGCTTACTCCTTGCCATAGAAAATGAGCAAGCGGTTTACCTAACAGAATTCTCAGAGTTAGGGAGGAAAAAACGGGGCGGTTCTCTTCTGAAGATTATATACAACTTTTTATATCAAGTCCCTTATCCTGAAAGTCAAAGAAATCACCAAGCCTGATTACAGGAGAAGGCATTTCTTGCAAACACTTGGCTTTTACTAAGAAGACTACTTAACCCTTTCCTTTGAAAGCTAGGATTGCTGGCTTATGGCCATGGGAGGAAACCTAGCTCATCTTTCAAATACTGGGCATGGACTCATTCATTTGGTCTGTGAATACTTAATGATTTTCTTTGTGCCCGGGGTTGTAAGTGAATACAATGCATGAATAAAAATATTTCCTGATAAAAAATGTCTGTCAGTGACCTGAAAGTATTTTGACATCCTTTTTATGATCTTTTTCAGAAAAAGTACATGTATATGGTAATGCAACAGTTCACTTATGAAATAAACATTAAAATTGTACGTATATTTTATTTTTATATGTATCTTTTAAAGCTCAGAAATTTGCCGGGCATTTTCACGAGGGAAAAGGTAAAGAGGAAAGCCTTGTAGATTTTTCATTTAGTAAACATAGAGTGTCAGTGGGAAGCTGGGCCTTAGACATGCATCAAGGGACCTCTAGTGGCCGAACTGGAAAGTTTTGCCTAGTTTACATAGTTGATTCCCTTGATTATTACCTGAAAAATGCGTTGTGGATTAAAAGCGGTTTGGATTTCTCACTGAAACAATACCCGCCATCTTTTATTCTTACAAATGTGCTTCCCAGATGAGTAAAGTCTATTGCTGGCTGACATGTGAAGAGGGCTTCTCCAAGAGAAAGCAATTCCTTGCTGTCTGGTGCTACAATCACTAACATTTTCATCTTCCTTCCTTTATTTATTTATTTTTGGGCTTTTCAGACAGGGTCTCGCTATGCAATTCAGGCTGGTCTTGAGCTCACTTTGTAGCCTAGGCTGGTCTCGAACTGGCAACGATTGTCCTGCCTCAGCCTTCCGAGTGCTGCAATTACAGGCATGCGCCACTATGCCTGCCCGGCTTCATCTTCCTTTAAAAGAACCAAATAAAGTGGAGGGAAAGTGATAACTGGGGAACAATAATATTTCTAGATTCTCCACTTTCCCAAGATGGCTCAGTATCCTAGGATCTGCAGTGTCCCCAAATGAAGACTCAGGCTTTGCACCAGGGAGACAAGCCCAGCTCAGTGTCATTGCCCAGGTGGCCAAGCACCTGGGTTACCTCTGCGGCGCTACCCTTAAGTCACTTGACAGCTCCTCTAATACAGAATTTAAATGTTGAGATTTCCACACCAACTACTGATCATAAGCGACACATGTTAAGAGGACATATATAAAGCACATTTCTTTAGTGTAATTTTTATATGAAGATTTCACGACATTCCAACCTCAGGCTCTGGAGAAGGAAAAGGAACATTTTTATTTCTGCTCCCATCCTTTCTGTTATCCCTTCAATCTCCTACCCCTTTGGGTCCCCCTGGACATTTCCGAGTTGCGGGAGTGGAGGGCAACTACATCAAAGTGATGTCATTCGTGAGTCCAACATGGTTTCCATGACGACTGCCAGACGTATTCCGCTAAAGTAAGAGGCTCTTTAACCAGCTTTCACTCAAGGGTTTCCCAGGGAGTCAGCCACAGACTACAGTGTACTGACAGCAAGGAAGTGGCAGGACTGGGATCCTCCCGCACAGACCCTCGAAATAAATTCGGCAGACAGTCTTGCGCCCGTGGGAAGGAGACCTTGTAGCCTCACGGGGTGTCACCTTGAACGACGCCCGCCCTGCAAAGATTTTGAGAGCTCATTGGCTGGCGGGGTCATCACTCAGTGACATCACGCGAGGAGGACAGAGGTGGACCCGTAGAGGCTTGGCCTCTGGCCCTCCTAGCTCGTGGGCGCGAGAGGAATTGGGAAGGAGTGGGGCAGGCCCGCGGCCGTTCCTGGGAGGCCGCGCCTTCGTCCTTGTCTCCGGGATCCACTCCCTCGGCTTCGCGTTACCCTGGCGGCTTCCAGTTCCCACCGCGCGCGTCTCGGCCCGCGATTCACCCGTCGCCCGGCCCCTCAGTTTGAAGGCTCAGCCTCCATTCCCCCTCCTCCCACCCTCGGCTTCCGAACTTCCCTTCCGCTTGCTCCGCACGCCTGCTCATCATCGTTTCCAACACCCGGGATCACCAGTTTACGGTCATCCGGCCTGTTCCTGTCCCGCCTCGCACTCTCCTCCCTCCACAGCGGTCCGCCCCACCCCACGCACGCTGGCCGCGGAGCGAGGGCGCGGTCGGCACGGCGTGGTGACCGGCCGCCCGCGGAGGTGACCCTCCCGGAGCAGAGTCGCCGCCGCGCAGGTCCGGTGTCCCCCAGCGCCGCGCCCGGCCGAGCCCCCAGCGGAAGCTTAGCTCAGTGGCGGAGGTTGCCGGCCAGGAGGCACCTGGTGCTCCCGTGAGCCACGAGACGTGGCTCTAAGGGCTCCTTGTTGCCCCTATCTGAAAAGCGCCAGGGATTGAACCTTTGCACTGAGTTTACGTCCTCAGCCCTTTTTATTTTAGTTCATCGTATTTTTCATATAGGGTCTTGCTAAATCGCTGATTTGCCTAGGCCGAGTTGGATGTTGTCATCCCCCGACCTCAGCCTCCCACAGTGCTGGGATTTATAGGCCTGCACCACTACTCCGGGTTTGATTAAGTATATTTAAAGGTACAGAGATGAGCGTGCTGGCGCAGGCCTGTGATCCCAGCCCTTGGGGAGTTGAGACAGGAGGATCCCTTCGAGTTCCAGGTCAGCCTAGGCGATACAGGGCGTTCAAGACCAACCTGAAAGACATAGAGAGATCCTATCTAAAAAAAAAAAAAAAAAAAAAAAAAAAAATCAAATAATTAAATAATAAATCAGTAACATCGGCTGGGGCTCTGGAGAGTTGCTAGTTCTGGAAATTCGCTTATCTGTATTCGAATCGTTAGTAGGCGCCATGTGTAGCTTCATTGCTCCATAAATGAGACCAGTGAGTACTTTCGGGCTTTAGGATTTGTGGTAGCTTGGCCAAGTACGGAAAAGCTAACGGAAAACAAATCCAAGATATTTGCTTTCTACCTATGTTTTTAGGCTACAGATAGGAGTGTCTTTCTCATCCTCCTAAATATTGGGCAACCATTCAAATTAGATTACTAGATACTATGAACCAGAAATAAAAATGTCTTTGGAGGCCTTGTTATCGTCATGAACCTCATTATCTTACAGATCATTTCTATGCGTTGGAATCTCCAAGTACCGTTTTCAAATCTAGAGGTAAGAAAATATTACTTTGATTGTTGAAAATAAATTTTAATGATATTGTACACTTTGAATATGCAAATTTTCTACCTGTGCATTAGTTAAATCCTGATCTCTTAACTGATTTTTTAAAATACTAAATTGTTTACTTCTTTTGCCTAGGTCTCTATGTTGATTAGTTAAGACAAAAATAAATATGGCCTTCTACAGTTGTAATTCAGTCTTGGCAATAGCTCGCACAAGGTAAGCATCGAAAACTATCTGCCCCGTATATACGAACATCATTTTCCTAACGGAATATATATGGATTGACTTAGAACCCACTTAAAACTTTGCTGGTTTTAACTATGTTGGTTCTTAGGAAGCTAACATTTTAATGTATTTAATATTACCTAAAATATCCTATATGCTTTAGAATTCAGACTGAGTCATTTTCTAGATGTATGGCACAGATAAGATAAAAGATTTAATGGTTTTACAGTGATACCTGTGTAACTGATGAATGTCACATGAGGCCCTTAGAAGTAAAAAGTAGTAAAATGGCTAGTGAGCAAGCCAATCCTAGAGCATATTCCTGTCCCATTCAATCTATTATCACTTATTTGTTTATTTTGAAGACTATTCACTGAGGACTGGCTATGCCAGATTCATTGTACATTCTCCCTTTGGGCCAAAGAATGATTTTATCTTGGCATGCTTTAAAAATAGGATGTAATAATGGAAAAAACAAACATCTTTTTGCCAAAATAAATCTCTTTGCCAGTGACTTTTTTTGCCTGGATTTTTTTTTTTCTTTTTCTTTTTTTTTTGTCTTTTTGAGATAGGGTCTCACTATGCAGTTCAGGCTGGCCTTGAACTGACTTTGTAGCCCAGGTTGGTCTCAAACTCTCAACGATCCTCCTGCCTCAGCCTCCTGAGTGCTGGGATCACAGGCGTGTGCCACCAAGCCCAGCTTGGGTTTTTAATTTTTACTTGCAGTTTGATATATCAGTTTAAATGAAGGTTATGGACTATTACAGTACTAGAATGTGGAGCTCCTTGGCTGGGGTGCTCAGTTCTTATTCCTAGTGTTCTTGAGGAATTTTAAGTGGAAGGATATTTTGGCTGTAAGTTCTTCTCATTGATTTTGGTTTTTTGTTTTGTTTTATTTTTTTGGACAGGATCTCCCTATGTAGTACAGCCTGGCCTTGAACTCACTATGTTGCCCTAGCTGGCCTCAAATTTATGATGGTCCTCCTGCCTCAGCCTCCCTTAGTGCTGGGATTACAGGGGTGCACCACCATGCCCGGCCTCCACTGGCTATTCTTATGTGAAAGAGTGTATAGCCACTGTGTAGACAAAGCAGTATTGTATGATTGGATAATCTCCACAGGTACCATGAAATGTTTCATTAAAACATTCATTTAATCACTAGAGTGGCTGTAGACACCAGTCTTCCACCTATTTTATCATAACAGATAGAGTTAATACTGTAATCCCTAGCAGAAACATATTTGCTAGGTTTTAAAATGAACAACTGGAAAAAAAATTAACAGCTGGAGAATATCTGACTTCTAATGTAGCACTTTATTCTTCAGAATTAATGTATGCTGGGCATGGTGGTGTGTGCTTATAATCCTAGCATTTGGGAGGCTGAGGCAGGAGGATCACCACAAGTTTGAGGCCAGGCTGGATTACATAGTGAGACCCTGTCTCAAATTTTAAAAAAGGAGGAAAAGAATTAACATAATAACATCTTACATATTCAATTGCAGAACATACTGTTTTTCCGTGGGGTAAATAGTTATATTTGGGACTAGGCATGTAGCTCAGTGGGTATAGCATATGCTTAACATGTGTAGAGCCCTGGGTTCAATCCCCAACACCCCCCCCAAAAATGTATATGTGTAATATATATGTATTTGTTCATTAATGAACATTCTCTGCTTATAGTAAAAAAAACCATGCTTTTCTTTTACAGATGGTCTCTATTTCTTTACTTTTAAGTTTATAATAGCACATGTTTGACTCTGAGGACTTTGCTCTTTATCCCAGGTTCCCCAGCACTTTAGCCAGGCCTGGCTGCCCTTCTCCTTCCCCATCACTTGCACTTCTTCACCTGCCAGATCCTCACTTGAACAGGATGTATGGGAAGCACTATGGAAGCAAGAAGCACCCTTACCCAAGTCAGGCAGGCACGGCAGCACTTCGAGTCCAAACTAGACTCGAGCAAAAGCTACACACATCAGCTTCCTGGTTACAGCAGGGCTCTGGGGAACCTCTCCCAGAACAAACCCCAGAAAAACCCAAGGCCACAAGCCCTCAGCCCGCAGAAGACACTGGGACGAAGATTAAAGAAGAAAAGCGATCTTATAGACAAAAGATTGTGGATGAACTTAAATATTATTACAATGGATTCTATTTACTTTGGAATGACACCAAAGTTGCCGCCAGAATGGTTTGGAGGCTGCTGCATGGACAGGTGCTAACCAGGAGAGAGAGACGAAGGGTAGGTGAAAATTATATCTGAGCAAGAAACTATGAAATTAAAATGCACTCTCTGGGAAGCTGGATGTGGTGGTTTCCACCTGTAATCCTAGCACTGGGGAGGCAGAGGCAGAAAGATTGAGCTCAAGGGCAGCCTGGGTTACATGGAGAATTTAAGGCCTGCCTGGACTAAGTGATGAGACCTTGTCTCAAAATAAATAGATAAATCAAAATAAATCTGGGGACTAAGATTTAAACTTCAACTTCACCTTAAAAAGCACCAATGGTGGCACATACCTAGGTATTCCAGAGGCTGAGGCAGGAGGATTGCAAAGTGGAGGCCAGCCTGGGATATTTAAGAAGGCCCTGCCTCAAAATAAAAATATAAAGCCGGGGAAATAGTTGAGTGGTAGAGTGCTTGCCTACCATCCACGAGTCCCTGTGTTCAATCCCCAGGACTGAAAAAATAATAATCAAATAAAATATAGCTTTCCTAGTGTGCTCACGGCCCTGGATTTGATCCTCAGCAGCCTGCTGCCCTAAAGTAGGAATGGTAACTACTGGTGAGGCTCAGAGGGTTTTCTGTTTTGTTTTTTATTTTGTATAGTGCTGAGGATGAACCCAGGCCTTGCTCATGCTAAGCAAGACCTCTATGCAGAGCAATACCTAGACCTTCAAGAGCAATTCTTATTACCTAAAGAATGGTAGTGTAATCTAAGCTATGTAGTCCAAGCTGGGCTTGAACTCACTATGTAGCTTATACTGGCCTTGATCTTGTGATGATCCTCCTGCCTTAGCCTCCTGAGTGCTGGGGATTATAGGCATGTACCACTATGCCTCGCAATTCTATTTTTTAAATCTCCCCAAGGAGTTGAGAGACTTCAGGTTTTGTGCATCAGAGATACAACGCTGTTAATATATTAAGCATGTATGTGTTTTTTAAAAAACAATTTTTAGTCAGGCATGGTGTTTGCTGCATGCCTGTAATCCCAGTACTTGGGAGGCTGAGGCAGGAGGATCACTGCGAGTTCAAGGCCAACCTTTGTAGGCCAGCTACAAAGTGAGTTCAAGCCTAAAGTGGGTAGTAAAACCCTGTCTCAAAAACACCAAACAAACAAACAAACAAAAACCAATTTTTAAAGCCAAGTGCAGTGGCATGCACCATAGTGGGTGGCTGAGGCTGCAGTATAGGGCGGCTGAGGCAATACAGGGTGGCTGAGACTGCACAATCAGTTGAGTGCAGGAATTTAGGATCAGCCTGGGCAACATAGTGAGACTGTCTCATACTGTGTTATTTAAGTAGGGCCTGTCATTTGAATGGAAGCTAAGAGATGCCAATATGTTTTGACTGTCATATATTTCCTTGAAGATACCTCATAAATAACACTTCAGAGACATGGTGAAGAGAAAAGCCCCATCTTTCCATTTTACAAACCCAGTTTGGGTTTATGACACTTTAAGAACCAAGGCAGGCATTTTTTTTTTTTTGCATGTTTTGAAATAATTAAACATTGTTTGTGTATTTAATTCTTCAGCTGTTGAGAACCTGTGTTGATTTCTTCCGTTTGGTTCCATTCATGATCTTTATAATCGTACCCTTCATGGAATTCTTGATACCAGTGTTTCTGAAACTCTTCCCAAATATGCTGCCATCAACTTTTGAAAGTAAATCCAAAAAGGTATGCAGAATTTTTAATTTTTTTTGAAAAGTTAATAGACATTCTTTTTCAGTCCAATTTTAAATTCACAGAAAATGAGGCAGAAAATACAGAGTTTCTGTGTACTATTCCTACCTCCTACACCCGATTTCCCCTGTGATTGACATCTAGCCTCAGTATATATATATATGTGTATATATATATGTATGTATATATACACATACATGTATATATACATACATATATATACATACACATACATACATATATATATATATATATATGTTACTGCTGAAGAACCAATACTGATACACTATTATCAGCTTACCCATGACAGCTGGGTTCCTTCTTTGTGGCCTACAGACCTGTAGGTTTGTAATGTATGATGTCACTATCTGCCTCAGGAGTCTCAGAGGCCAGACAGCAGGCTGGAAGCAGGTGAGTGGTGGGCTCACTGTGCAGGTGGACTCTGCAGCTCGCCGCTCAGTCTGGGTGGAGGCTGCCAGGGGCAGACCCCACCCAGAGCTTGAATGCAGGCCAGAAAACAAGGAAGTGGACATGGACTCCAGGACTGCTAATCATGATTGTGATCTTAGGGGACCAGCAAGGGAATGCAACAAGGCTAAGGATAAGTTCCATTGTCTGGGTATACCACGATTTATCTACCCATCATCCACTGAATGTATGGCATTTTGGTTACTTCTAAGTGTTCTGTTTTGTTTTGTTTGTTGTTTTTTTGTCTTTTTGAGACAGGGTCTCACTATGCAGTTCAGGATGGCCTTAAACTTACTTGGTAGCCCAGGCTGGCTTTGAACTTACAATATCCGCCTGCCCCAGCCTCCTGAACGCTGGGATTACAGGCACTTGCCACTATGCCTGGGTACTTCCCAAGTTTTTTGTTTTTTTAAAGAGAAGAAAAAAAAATAGGGGCTGGAGATTTAGCTCAGCGGCACAGCACTTGCCTGGCAAGTGCAAGGTTGTGAGTTCGATTCCCGGTACCAGAAACAAAACAAAACAAAACAAAATGATACATAATTTCAAAACAAGATGATAGGAAATTAACAGTGGTTATTATATTGCATATTCTTATCTTCAAAGTAATTGCTCAGATTTTTTTTTTTTTTCTGGTACTGGGAATCGAACTCACGATCTTGCGCTTGCCAGGCAGGCACTGTGCCACTGAGCTAAATCCCCAGCCCCCAGTAAGTGCTCAGATTACAAGATACAGGCATGCAAAATTGATCCCCCAAGATCACAATCATGATTAGCAGTCCTGGAGTCCATGTCCACTTCCTTGTTTTCTGGCCTGCATTCAAGCTCAGCATTCAGCACAAACCATTCCTGTCAATGAACTAATAGAAATTAGTAGTATAATTATCTTAGCTAGCTGTACATTCATATATATATATATTCTCCTTTTCCCTTCCTTCTTTTCTCCTTTCCCCCATCCCAGTTCTTTCCTTTTGAGCAGTCCGTTTCCCTTTACAATATCTATTGTACATTTTAGATCTTATTTACTCTTTCAGTTTCTTACACTGAGACAGTATGATTTTTACATACGTGAGTCTGACTTGTTTCACTTATCAGTATGATCTCTAGTTACATCCATTTACCTATAAAAGCCTTGAGTTTATCCTTCTTTATAGCTGAGTAGTACAGTATTCAATTGTATAAAAAACCACATCTTTTTTATCCATTCCTTGGTTGATGGGCATTTGGGTTCTTTCCAAGATTTAGCTATTACAAATTGTGCTGCTATAAACATGGGTGCATATATATTGTTGTGGTATGGCATTTTTAATTCTTCTGAAAATATACCCAGAAAAGGGATAGATGGGTCAAATGGGACCTCAAATCCTAGTTTTTTGAGGAATCTCCACACTGATTTCCACAGTGGTTATACCAGTCTGCACTCCCACCAACAGTGGAGAAGGATTCCTTTTGCCCACAGCCCGCCAGTATTTGTTATTGGTTGACTTCTTGGTGGTAGCCATTCTTTCTGGGATGAGATGGAATCTCAGTGTTGTTTTAATGTGCATTTCTCAAATGACCAATGATTGAACATTTTTTCGTATATTTATTTGCCTTTTGTATTTCTTCATCTCAGAGGCCCATTTTTGGATTGGGTCTTTGAATTTGGGGGACCTGATTTTTTTTCAGGTTTTTTTTTTTGTCTTTTTGAAACAGGATCTCCTTATGTAGTTCAGGCTGGTCTTCAACTCACTTTATAGGCCAGGATGGCCTCGAACTTGCAATGATCCTCCTGCCTCAGTCTCTCGAGTGCTGGGATTACAGGTGTGCACCACCATGCATGGCTTTTAGTTCTTTATATGTTCTAGATAGAAGTTCTTTGTCTGATAGACAGCTGGCTAAAATTTTTTCCCAATTTATGGGGTTTCTTTTTACTCTGTTGGTGACTTCTTTTGAATTGCAAAATCTTTTCAATAAGATGAGATTCCAGTTGTTGAGTCTTTGAAGTATTTCCCATGTAGTTTGGTTTCTGTTCATGAACTCTGCCTATGCCTATGCCTTCAAGATTTCTACCTACTTTCTCTGTGTTTATTTTTATTTTTATTTTATTTTTTTTATGGTACCGGGGATGGAACTCAGGACCTTGCACTTGCCAGGCAGGCACTTATGCCACTGAGCTATATCCCCAGCCCATCTACCTACTTTCTCTTTCAGTAGATTTAGTGTTTCTATTTTTTTTTTTTTTTTGGTTTTTCTCCGGTACCAGGAACCGAAATCATGACCTTGTGCTTGCCAGGTAGGCGCTTTGCTGCTGAGCTAAATCCCCAGCCCCTAGTGTTTCTGTTTTAATATTGAGATCTTTGATCCTTTTTGACTTCAGTTTAGTGCATGGTGATAGACATGGGTCTAGTTTTAATCATCAGCGTGTGGAAAGCCAGTTTTTTCAGCACTGTTTATTAAAGAGGCTATCTTTCTTCCCATGAACATATTTGGCCTCTTTGTCAAAGATAAGGTGGCTGAGTGTATTTGTAGATGTGTCTGCAGCTTCTAATCTGTTCCACTGATCCTCAGGTCTGGTTTTTTTTTTTTTTTTGCCAGTACCATGCTGATTTTATCACGGTAGCTTTGTAGTATAGTTTCAAATCAGAGATAGTGATGCCTCCTGCCTTGCCGTTGTTGCCCACAATTGCCTTTGCTATTCTAGATCTTTTCTGGTTCTAAATGAATTTTAGGAATGTTTTCTCTAGATCTGTGAGGTATGCTAATGGTTCTTTGATTGGGATTACATTAAATCTGTGTAAGAGTTTTGAGAGATGGCCATTTTCACAATGTTGGTTCTCCCTATCTATGAACAAGGGATGTCTTTCCATTTTCTGATACCTTCTTCGATCTCCTTTTTTAGATTACTGTAATTTTCACTGTATAGATCTTTTACTTCCTTTGTTAGATTGATTCCTAAGTATTTTATTTTTTTGGATGCTATTGTGACGGGTATTATTTCCTTAATTTCTCTCTCAATGAGTTTGTTGTTTGTGTATAAGAATGCTATTGATTTTTGGGTGCTGACTTTATATCCAGCTACTGAATTTGTTTATGAATTCTAGAAGTCTTTTGGTGGAGTTTTTGGGGTATTCTATGTAGAGTATCATTCATCTACAAACAATGGTAATTTAACTTCTTCCTTTCCTATCCTTATTCCTTTTATTTCTCTCTCTTGTGTAATTGCTCTGGCAAATGTTTCCAGAACTATATTGAATAGGTGTTTTAACAATTAACAGTGTGAGTGAATCTGCTCTAAACATTTATATGGGCAGGTATCTTTTTGAATGAATATTTTTACCTCAATGAATAAATAGTAAGAAGTGTGATTGCTGGATCATAAAAAGAAAGAAAGAAAGTGCTAAATTCTCTTCCAAAGTGGCTCTGTCATTCTTCATTCTCACCAGCAGTGAGTGCCTTCCTCTTATTCCACATCCTCCCCAGTAATTAATGTTGTCAGTGTTTTGCAGTTTAGGCACTCTAATAGGTGTGTCCTGTTATAGCCGTGTTTTAATTTGCAATTCCCGGATGGTTTATAATGCTGAGCATCTTTTCATGTGCTTATTTGCCATTGTGTTTTCTTTGGGAAGGTATCTGTTCAGATTTCTTCAGTTGAGTGATTTGTTTTATTGTAGTTTTGAGGATTTTTAAAAAATATATATTTTGGGTAAAAGTCTTTTATCACGTATATTTTGCAAATATTTCTCCTAGTTTATGGCTTATCTTTTCATTCATTAAAGAGTGCCTTTCACAGAGCAAACACTTGTAATGAAACCCAACTTGGCAATTTTTTCCCTTTCATCTTTGTGCTTTTGGTGTTGTAGCTAAAAGCCTGTTGTCAAACCCAAAGTCACTTTCCTTTTTCCCTGTTTTCTTCTAGGGGTTATATAGTTTTACATTTTAAGTTAGGCTTATGATCTATATAGAGTGAATGGAATTTTACCAGTCTATAAAAGATGCTGTGGATAAAAGAATAACACTTTTAATGGCATAATGACATAAAAGAGCATGACACAGTCCAGCACTGCTGATCTGTCTTTCGTGCTTGGAATTGGGAGTAGAAGGGGGCCAATGGTGGGAGAAGACAACTTAAAAAATAGACCAGTAGATTCCTGTTTCTGTCTAACTAGTGTCCTGACCGTGGTTGTTTTAAAAATACCACCACACCGCATTTTAATGTTGAACAAGGATTAAGAAACACTGGTCACTCTTAAGAGTGAACCTTTAATTCTCTTCTGTGTAATGCTTTTTTATACCTATTATATAACTTAAATTACTGAATTTAATTCTGTTTTCTACTTAAACTCTCAGTTACTTTCACATAGAGTTGATTTCCTACTTTGTACTGCTGAGGATCGAACCCAGAACTTCACACACGCTAGGTAAACACTCCACCATGAGCCACATTCCCAGAAGATTTCCTACTTTGTTAAACAAAATGCAGGGCTATTTAGAGCAGGGATTTGGCCAAGTAGCAGCCTAGGAGGTTTGTGTGAGGTTGACTGATCTTTCAAAATAATGAAAAAGCCTCTCCTTCGGGCTTTTTTTGATCTAGCCCATGCTTATGATCATTGTATTAATGAAAAATAAATTCAGATTAGAAAACAAATTTCAGATAGAGTCTATTTTATATTTCACTTGGTTCTCACAAGCCCACTCAAATCTGCAAACAATACATGTTATAGAGATGAGGAATAACAAAGTGACAATTATTTCTCCTGTCTTTACCCAGTCGCAGTCGTAAAGAATTAACTTTTCCTTTCTACTACTAAGGAAGAAAAGCAGAGAAAGAAAATGGCCGCAAAGTTGGAATTAGCAAAATTCCTTCAAGAAACAATTACAGAAATGGCCAGGAGGAACAGAGCCAAGCTGGGAGAGGCCTCTACACAGCTCTCGTCCTATGTAAAACAGGTGTCTGTCTTTTACATTGTACCAAATGACTTCTGGGCTGGAATCGTATGATAAGTGCATGTCCCTGTGGATCTTCCAGATTGCTCGCAATCTTTGAAATTGAAAAAACCAAAATCATATATTTATGATATTTAAACATTTAACATTTTAAACATAGTAGTCTGCAGAAGAGGCTACCTTAAAACAATCATTGTGTTAGCTGGGTGTGGTAGTGCATGTCTGTAATCCTAGCACTAGGGAAGCTGAGGCAGGAGGATCATCAAGAGTTTAAGACACAGCCGGTCGTGGTGGCGCACTCCTGTAATTGCAGCATTTGGGAGGCTGAGGCAGGAGGATTGTTGCAAGTTTGAGACCAGCCTGAGCTAAAAGGCCAGCCTGAACTGCATAGCGAGACCCTGTCTCAAAAAGACCAAACAAAAAGAGTTTAAGACAATCGTGGACAACATAATCAGTTCAAGGCCAGACTGAACTCTGAGACCCTTTCTCAAAAAAACCCATTGTGTTGAAGAGAATGGTAAATTCTTGGGAAGAATAGTCAGGCTTTTGAACTACTGATTTTTCCAATGATTTAGTTTAACTTCAGATGTCTTTTTTTTTTTCTTTTGGTATCCAGAATCGAACTCAGGACTTTGCACTTGCCAGGCAGGCACTTGTGCCACTGAGATATATCCTCAGCTCCAGATTTCTTTACTCTTCTTTGAACTACATTTCTAGACCCCAGATAGAGGCTGTAGCAGCTCTGACATTTCTTTGCAACAGTCTTGTGGAAAGGTTATGTGAAGCAGGCAACACGTTTCAATGAGCCCCTTTGTCCTGTGCCTAGGTCCAGACAGGCCACAAGCCCAGCACAAAAGAGATTGTTCGCTTCTCCAAACTCTTCGAGGACCAGCTGGCCCTGGAGCACCTCGATCGGCCTCAGCTCGTTGCCCTTTGCAAACTGCTAGAATTGCAAACCTTTGGAACCAACAATTTGCTTCGCTTTCAGCTCCTGATGACCCTGAAGTCTATAAAAGCAGACGATAGAGTAAGAGTTTAGTCATGGCTCCTGGGGAGTCCCAAGGGACTGTGAGGGGTGCTTTTGTCATGAAGAACAGTGTTCTCTGTTGGGTCCACTCAGGGACTGATTCTGGCAAAATGAGTGGTTGAAACAACCACTACCAGGATCAACTGCATCTTGCTTACTTATTTTAGGAATTGTCTATTGTTTTGAGAACCATTATTTTTGAGAAGGCCATCATAGCAGTTAGTGCTTCAGATATCTTGGCGAGGACTAATCTAAGGCAGTTAGGACTTGCTGGGAAGGAAGTAGCAGCTCAGTGGATTCCTGGCAAAGCTCTACCAATGCCTTTGCTCCACTACCATGGAGCTGTTGCCAAAGTAAATGTTCTGTTGGATGAACTGGCCTGGTAAGAAGAGTCTGGTAAAGCATAATGCTGGGGAAGAAACAGAGCCTGCATGTATTATAGATGGCATCATTTGGACTATAACTACTAATTAGACTCCTTTAAAAAATGGAAAGGATGTTTCTTCAATCTAAACCAGCTGCTATACAGCATTCTACCTGAGGGAGCAGGTCTCCCTTATTTGCCTCATTCGGGTTTCAGATTTTGCTTTCAGAACTTTGGTATAAACAATACAGGTCCCTGGAGAATAATAGCTGTGGGTCACACCAAGTAGAAACTACAGTATGTAATTTATGGAGGGAGTTTTGGGGACCAGAGGAGGCCATTCTTGCCTGATGTGGAGGTGGGGGCAGTAGAGGAAAATCAGCATTGGGACACCCAACAAATTCTACCTTGAAAGCTTTTCAAGTGAAAATCTTTTAGTGAATTGTAAAGATGCTGTGCCATGCAAGGGAAGAGATGTGACAACCAGGCAAAATGCAAATCAAGAGGGGAAATACTTTGTCAATAAAATGTTGGGAGTTATCTAAATATCTCTACTATTAATGTCTATTAACAGGATTCCCTTCATCTCAACTGTCACCTTCCAAAGTCCCCTTGTATTTTAGGGTCCAGGCCTGTGCAACAGTCTGCAGAAGAAAGAGTGTCCAAGCAACAGATTCTGGGCTTCTACTGAGTTGCTGGAATGTAGGGATGGGCAAAATTAGAACCAAAAGATCTGATACCTCCCTTACATTTCTTGCAGATAATTGCCCAAGAAGGGGTGAAAGATTTGAGTGTGTCAGAACTGCAAGCTGCCTGCAGAGCCCGAGGCATGAGGTCACTGGGTCTCACTGAGGAACAACTGCGACAGCAGCTCACAGAGGCAAGCCAGCCACAGCAGGTCCCCTTCACGACTCTTTTTGGTGACTTGAAGACTTCATTTTTCATTCTACTTCTCAAGTGTGTTGGGCAGCTTTCTGTTGCTATGACAAAATGCCTAGGAGAACACATTTATTTGGACTTGTGGGTTTTTTTTTTTTTTTTTTGTCTTTTTGAGACAGGGTCTCACTATGCAGTTCAGGCTGGTCTTGAACTCACTTTGTAGCTCAGGCTGATCTCCAACTCATAGTGATCCACTTTCCTCAGCCTCCCAAGTGCTGGGATTACAGGTGTGAGCCACCATGGGCTTGTGGTTTTTCAGAGGTTTCCGTCCATGGTTGCTTGGCTCTGATGCTGTGGGCCTGTGGCGGTACAGTACATCAGGGCAGAAATGCATGGCATAGAAGGCCTTACCCATGGTAGCCGGAAGCACAGACAGAGGAAGAGGTGGGCCCCATGTCCCAACTTCACTGCAAAGACATACCCCAGTGACTTCACGTCCTCCTGCGAGGCCCTGCCCCTTAGGGCTTCACTATCAAACCTGTAGCACACAGACTTTTGGGAGATGTTTAAGATCTAAACCAGACTGCAAGTAAACCATCTTACCTAATTGACCTTAATTCGTTGAGCTGTGGGACACTAAAGAAGATAGATTTACTTTGCGTTTTGATTGGGATGCATCACTGTATTAGTTTGCTTTTGCTTTTCTTTTTTTGGTCCTGGGAATTGAACCCAGAACCTTTTCATTGAACTGTCCCCCTGCCCTTTATGACAGTCTGGGCTCAAACTTGCAGTTGTCCTGCCTCAGCCTCCAAGAGTGCTGGAACTGTGGGCATGCACCACCGCACCTGGTTTGCATTAGTTTCCTATAGCTGTTATTCCAAACTGCTAACCTCGTGGCTTAAAGCAACACTCATTTACTAGCTCGCACTTCCACAGTCAGAAGTACAGGCTGTGTTCCTTTCTGGAGGTTGTGAGGAATAATCCACTTCTAAGCTAATTCGCTTAGTTGGCTGAGCCTAGTTCTTTGCAGCTGTAGGACTGAAGTCCTTGTTTCCTTCCAGCTTCCAACCCCAGGCTGCTCAGCACCAGAGGCTACCTCCTCTTGGCCCCTCCATCTGCAGTGCCAGCAGTGGACTTGTCACGTGCCAGATTCCCTCATGCTTCCAATCTCGAGTTTCCTGTTTGTTTTTCTTTTCTTTCTCACACATGCTAGGCATATGTTCTACTACTGAGCTACATCCCTAGCCTTTTTTAAAATTTTGAGACAGGGTTTCACTAAGTTGCCCAGACTGGTCTTGAACTTGCAGTCCTCCTGCCTCAGCTTCCTAAGTAGCTGTGATTATAGGTGTAGGCCACTATGCCTGTGTTTGTTGTGCAGGTCAAAATGACATATGTACAGTATTATCCATTTAAATAGCAAAAGATTGGAGACAGCCACAAGTTCTTTAAAAGGAGAATCATCTAATTGTGTTTCCACACAGTGAAATCCTGTAAGAATGTTTAAGAAAGGCACAATGGCACATCTACTGAGATGACAATATCTAAGCTGTTTCAGTGGAAAAAGCAAAGAACTGAACAGTGTGTATATGTCACCCTTTGTGTAAAGATAAAAAAGTATAAATTTGTATGTGCATAGGGTATCTCAGAAAGAGTATGTAAGGAAGAGAATGGCTAGAGAATAGGGATAGAAGGAAGACTTGTTTTTATTGAATACATTGTGTTTACCTTTGAGTTGTATTTTGATCATGTATGATTGATCTAAAAATATTAAAAGGAAAAAAAACCTTGGCCAGGCAGGGTGTGGTGGTGCACGTCTGTAATCCGAGCACTTGGGAGGCTGAGGCAGGAGGATCACTGCAAGTTTGAGGTCAGCCTGAGCTACGTAGTGAGTTTAAGGTCAGCCTAGGTTACATAGTGAGACCCTGTCTCAAAAAAATCAAGCAAGCAAGCTTGGTCAAGCTGGGTATGGTAACAGATACCTGCAATCTCACCTACTTGGGAAGCTGGCAACTAGTGAGACCACCTCAAAAAAAAAAAAAAAAAAAAAAAAAGGCCGAGAACATAGTTTAGTGATAGAATGCTTGTGTGAGGCCTAGGATTCAATCCCCAGTCCTGGGAGAGAAAGAAAGTATGGCCAATTTGATAGTTAAAAACTTACATCTAGCCGGGTGTGGTAGCACATGCCTGTAATCCCAGCACTCAGGGAGGCTGAGGCAGGAGGATTGCCATGAGTTTGAGGCCAGCCTGGGCTACATAGTGAGTTCAAGGCCAGCCTGAACTCAAAACCAAACAAATAAACAAAATATCCCAAAACTTACATCTATAGTTTATCCTCATTGTAATGTTTATTTATTTATTGGTTTATTCTGTTTTATTTTTTGAGACAGGCTCTTGCTGTGCCCAGGCTGATCTCACACTTGGGATTCGCCTGCTTCAGCCTCTTAAGTGCTGGGATTACAGATGCATGCCCCCCCTGCCCAGCTTCTAATTTTTAAGACAAGATATGGTATTTAGCTACTTTGATCCCAGTTGGGCTGAGAGCTTAATGGAGCGCTTCCTCCCTGGTTGTAGTAAGGGAAGCCACCAGGTACTCGGACTGGTACAGAAGTCAGGAGAATGGCATCGTCTTCTACCATGAGTGTTGGCATGAGATGGGAAGAGTGGTGGGACTGAGTGTCCCTTGCAGCTGTAACCATCTGTGACTTCCTGTTCCTCAGTGGCTGGACCTGCACCTGCAGGAGAATGTGCCCCCGTCTCTGCTGCTGCTGTCTCGCACCTTCTACTTGATAGACGTGAAGCCAAAGCCGATTGAGATACCGCAGCACGGTGAGGTGAGTAATGCTTCAGTCTCCAGTTTGTCACTGTCAAGGCCACTCCACCAACATCAAACTTCCTTTTGTGATCCGAGCACATGTTTCTTCTGGAATTTGCACCAACCAGCTTAGACATCCTTTCAAGATTCAGCAGCATCCCACCACTTGGGAGGCTGAGGCTGGAGAATCATTGTGAGTTTGAGACCAGCCTGGGCTACAAAGTGAGCTCAAGGCCAGTCTGAACTGCATAGTGAGACCCTGTCCCAAGAAGACAAAACAAAGATTCAGCAGCAGAGTGCTGCTTTTAACCTCCTTCCTCCAGAAGGCCACTGAGACCATCGGCAGCCCTGGGGCTGTGACTGTTTCACCCAAGCCTGAAGTAGAAACTTTCCTGCTTGGTGTATCTTTGGTTCTTTCTCTACGTAGTCTTCTTCTTTAGCAGACTTCTCCCTGCCCTGACCGTTTTGTCCTTTGAACCAAATGGTTCCTATTCTTTCATGTCTTACTTACCCAGATTCCTGTTAGTTTTAAAGCGCAGAATGACTAGCCTAGAATGTAAATTTCTGTCTCCCTGCAACTTGTTTCCTTAATCATTGTGCCTGTAACTCAGCCACATTTTTCCTGCTGGTATTTTACCAAAGCAGCCAGGCCAAGCCTGAGAGTGTCTTGCTCTGGCCCCTTGGAAAGGGTCTCGCTTCTCTCCTCCTGGCTTCATGTTTTCTTTCCAGCCTTGTGAGTGAGAAAGGAGGCTGCTGCATGCTTGGGTTAGCAGTGGAGCCTCAGGACTCAGGTGAGAACAGATCATCTTAAATCTCAGATATATTCTTGACCACCAAGACAAGTCAAGGATCATCTGAAGGCTAGCATGAAAAATCTACTCCAGGAAACACTGTCTTGCTTCCTGTCTGTGTTTCCAGACCAGAATCTGGTTTTGGGATTTATCCAGGATGGATTCTAGGTAGATGAGAAGCAATTTCCTTGTAAAGACCATGAAGGCTGGCCAGTGAGTTTCCACTTGATCAAACTCCTGGGTCTACTTAGGGAAGATTAAAGTTGTTATTTTTAGAGCCCCCGAGACCACACAAGGAAATATTGGAGGAGTGCAACGTCTCAGAACTAAATCTGAGTTCTCACAGTTATTCTACATGGACACCAACTCTTTATCGAGATGCAGTGTAAGGGAGGACAAAGGGCCAAGCTCCTTAGAATCATACTGATTATTCTTTTCTTCTGTGTTCTTACATTGCTATTCTTTATATGTTCAAAACAGAAAGTAGTAGCTTGCTGGACTGTTAAAGAATTGAGATGTCATGCTGGGTGGGCATGGTGATGCACGCCCATGATCTCAGCCCTTGGGAAAGTGAGGCAGGAGGATCTCTGAGTTCTAGTTCAACGTGGGCTACATAGTGAGTTCAAGGCCAGCCTGGAATACACAGTGAGACCTTGTCTCAACAAAATAAAATAAAACAAAGACAACAATAAAAAAAGAATTGAGACATCAATTGAATATACTACAGTCCTGTGATGGTGAACCTTTTAGAGCTTTTTCATGCCATAGCACTGCATATAGTCCCTTTCCCTGTAGTAGTAACAAACATTTCCAAAGAGCAGTGATTTTTTTTCCAAAGTCAATTTCTGTAATTCTTACAGACAGATAACTAGTTATCCTACCCCGGCTCCCTAATCTAATCTGTCATCTGTTCTACTACCTCCTTCCATTTTCCTTGGGCTGGTTACCTAGGGCCTTGCAAATGCCAAGCCTGTAGACTATAGTTTGCCAACAGACTATACCCCCAGCTCCTCAAGCACTTCTGTGAAGCAGTACCTAGCATTCAGTCAGGCAGATTCATAAGTATGGTACCACACACGAGTGGACAGTGGATACCAGTGTGGTGTCCACTTTGATCAAGGTATGTCAGTGCTATTAGAAATTGATGAGTAATTGGGAAATAACTTCTTTCTTTTGAGACTGAGATCAGGCAAGTCAGTGGCTTGCTGAGGACTAGATCTTACATACTAGACTTTAGAGTGCAGCTTTTGTAGCATGGTCAAAACTCATAGAGAAATAACTCTGAGTTACTATTTCGGGGGCATAGTTTTGGGGGACATATTTCATGTTACTCATGCAAGTGTAGTCTGAGGAGGAAGTCTGGAATTTAATGGAAAGCAAATCGTGCTGAAAGGCACTGACTACTGTAAAGGAGCTTCTGGGTTTCGGGAAGAGCAGAAAGCTTATGCTTCTGCAAACTGCTTCTCTCCCTAGGCTCTGAAGACAGACGTTCCTGTGGGATCACCTTCTTCCCCCGCGTCTAAAGAGAACATGGTAGATTCTGCACCTCAGCTGAAGGGAACTAAGGTTAGACAGTTCCTTTCTACTGCAGTTCAAAATAAAGAAAATGATGTTAATTTTTCTGTAAATAATGATACATTAAGAAAACCAAATTCGAATACAATAGTATTAAAAGTAAGGAATATTATACTGTTTAAAAGTTGAACATTTGCTGATATGCCTGTAATACCAGCCCTTAGGAGGCTGAGGCAGGAGGATTGCTAGGAGTTTGAGGCCAGCCTAGGCTACATAACAAGCTCAAGGCCAGTTTGGCCTACACAGTGAGACCCTGTCTCAAAAAACTAAAGATAAATAAATAAATGTGTGTTGAACATCTCGGGCTGGGGGTGTAGCTCAGTGACAGAGCCCTTGCCTAGAAAGTGTGAGGCTCTGGGTTCTATTTTCAGCACTGAAAAAGAAAAAAAAAAAGTTCATTTGGCTACATGTTAGTAGGCTTTAGATTTTGCCTTGTGAACCTTGTGCCAGAATATGAAATAGTTACAAGCTCCCAATAGCCTCGATAGTGGATCTACCTTTTACTTTAAATCAGTAACCCAACTGTCAGTTCTGATGTTTAAGGATGAAGAATTGATGCAGCTGCCACCAGTACCATCATCATCACCAAAGTCGCCACCAACATCTATGTCATTACCCATGGCTTCTTCTAAAGAGGCGGTAAGTATTTAAAAAGCAAAACAAGCCTTAAGGCCAAACAAAAGACCTTTTCCCCGAGTTATCTCCAACAGCAGTGAGGCTAGAATTACAATATTGCAAAACAGCACATTAATTCTTCCCGTCATCCAACAGGAAGTTGCTGGGTGAAATTTAGTCATCTTATAACCACTGCACTTTTTACCACAATTATCCGAAAGTGGAAAAAATAATTACCAACCAATCTAATGGTGGACCAGACCTAAATGTTAAGTCTATAAGCTAATTAGCATATAGGCAGATCCTTATTTTCTTATGCACCAGATGGAAGTAGTTTCCATATGTTGTATACTTCACACAGGCTTCTGATGTCAGGAAATACTAGCAGGAAAGCAATTTAAATACTAAGAGCAGTGCATGTAAATAAGAAATTACTTATCTGTCCACTTTTCCCATTTGAGTGAATGAATTTGGGGGGAAGGGCAGAAACCAGGGAGGTCACAGGAAGGCTGAACTGTGAAGAGGCTGTGGCAGACCAATGCTGCTGGTAGAAGTCTGTGACACCCAGATGGGGTGAGCACACAGTGACCCCAGGCACATGGAGGTCTGTTTGCATTCTTCATTTTTATTACAAGGTAAATCAAACTCAGGTTTGACTTTGTGAGCTGTTACTAAGAAAGCAAGGGACTGTTGAAGAACTCACACCTCTGATTGTGACCAATGCCTAACTAAAGTCCATGTTTTGACTAGGTCCTCCAGGCCAAACCCCAGGAGACATCCCAGAGCAGCAAGGCGAGTTCAAAAGGAGCCTAGGGACTGCTCGGGTGGAGCATGCTGCGGTCTCCACCTGTGTTTGGCAGTGGCACCTGTAAAGGATATCCAGCCCGTCTGTCTCTGCTTTAGATAAAGGATCAGCCACGTAGTCCTGGGGTCAACCCGGAGGCCTTGTAAGGTCCTGGTGATGTCTGCTGTGACACCACGTTCAGCTTTTCTAGAGAAATGCCACCAGTTTATTTCCTGTGGCATCGTCATTCCACTAAACCTTATCAGAGCCTAGCCCACTGCGTCATCTCTGAACAGCTTCCTCTTTGTGTGCCTCTCTTCAATCAGGTTCTGGTTATCACATGATGGGACCTGCTCAGCACCCTGAATACTTCTGTGGCTAGTGGTTGCCACTTGCACCCCCCAAAAGCCATCTTCTGAGCACATGACTACCTTTTTCAGAATGACTGATCAGTAGGGGCAGTGCCCCGGAAATAGCACCCTGAGGTGGGATGGATATACTTTCCAGGAAGGTTCTTTCTGGGTATGAAGGGAAAAGTGGCTTAGAAGAGGAAATGGGAAATTAAACAGATCAGCAGAGAGGCCTGGCTGCTGCGTAGCTGCTCCTGCACTTTCCCCTCTGGGGCCGTGGAGGCTGCAGGAATCTGAGAGGGGGCCACTGTTCCAGCACACAGGGCTTTCATTAGCCACCATTTTGTTAGGAAACATAATTAAGGGCTTAAGGCTTAACCATTTGTTTGTGCTGGATGTGTTTTTCTGGTCAGCTTGTCTTTCACAAAGACTGTTAGTCATAGGGTGGTACAGTCTGATAGAATCCCTACGCACCCCAGGAACAAGTACCCTATTCAGGTATTTCTGCAGTGTTCTCAATGTGAAGACTGCAACAGCTGGGCAGGCTGCACCCACCTGACTGAGCTTTCTTCCCTTGCTCTGAGAGGTAAAGTAAAACTCAGGACCTGCTCTGCCTGGAACCACCTAGGTGAGAAATGTCACAAGGACTTCACAGCAAGACCATTCACTTTAAACACTCAGGCTTCTCCATGAGGACAAGTCCCAACTGGCTCTTCCATGGGGACAAAGCCCTACTCTGCAGACACAGCATTTCATAGATCTGCCATTGGCCATGCTGGATGACTCATGATAAGATTTCAGCTTTAAAATGGGTTAGTCAGTCCTCCTCTCAGCTGTTACATGAGAGGAAGGGATTGAGTAGTTAACTGGTCCAATCCTGTCTTGGCTGAATGATCTGCATGGGCTATGGAACAGCCTATAATTCTGTTTGGCCTCCCCTAGGGGAATGGTTAGGCCAAGGGGCCCTGGCCACTTTTGTCCCCAGTTGGCCTTCATCTGTTTTTGCCAACATCTAGGCACACTGAGACCTCTCTTCCTATTGTCATGACAGTAGTTGACCTGAGGAGTCATGGATATTTTTTTGTTCTTGTCACTTTAGGTGCTTGGCTGTTGGGGTTTGTTAGTTCTAACCCCAATTTGGAACCCAGCTGGTTGTGTTTTGGTAAATGGTTAATAATCAGCTGAGGAAATAGCTGATTTATAGTATCTGCAGATCCCAGTTATGTAAATACTCCCACTGAGGCTGATTTCTGGCTACCACCATGACGAGTACAGAGCTGTGGCCCTTGCAAGCCAGCACCAGCTACCACTGACCCTTCTGGATCAAGAGACAGCGGAACTTCTGGTCGGTAGCGTGATCAGAAAACCACATCTGTGCGCCAAGACCCTCATCTGGGAGGCAGAGCTGTAAAGATGCTTCTGAATACTGTTAAGTGCAACCAAGAAGGAATGAGCCTTAACATCTGGCCTTGGCTGGTCCTGCCCCTTCCTGGCTGTCATCAGCTGAGAGAATGGGAGGCCAAGCTGGTTTGCTTCAAAGCTTTCTTCTTCCTCACTCCCTACTCTGCCTTCCCTGTACATGCCTTGGCTCTACCAGCTGTTCATAACCTCCCTGGCTTTGATTTTAGGCATTCTCCAACCCAAACTGCAGTGATGTTACACTTAGCCTATCTCTCATACAGAAAGAATTCTGGGGTGTGTGAGGGAGACAGACACAGAGATAGGGATAGGCTCTACTTGTGCCTTGGAAGTTGTTTTTTTTTTGAGGCAGGGTCTCCTTGCCTAGCCCAGGCTGGCCTTAACTTCCAGCAATCCTGCCTCAGCCTCCCAAGTGCTAGGATTACAGGCATATGGCACCATGTCTAGTTCTGTAATTTAATCATTAAAAGTCGTATGGGTGAGGGATGGGGCTGTAGTTCAGTGGTAGAACACTTGCCTAGCATGTGTGAGGCCCTGGTTCAATCTCCAGTCTGGGGAGGGGTAGTCCAGTAAAGCAGTGCTCTATAATGCTAAACCTAAGCTAAAGACTTCCCACTCACCAATACTGCACTCACAGGTAAGATCAGGTGGTATTTCAAAGCAGATTGAATTTTAATACAGATTTTTTAAAGCTCACTGGCTCCACCTAGTGGTTCCTGATATAAACATCGTGACTTCATTACCATTAAGATAGATTTCTTGCTGCATCTCATGTTCAATCTTACTTACCTGAGATCAATATATTACATTAGGAGTGGCCAGGGACTGATGATCTCCAGCCCCTGGCAATTAGGAAAGGCAGTATTGATTAGTGCTGTAGTCGTCCCAGGACCTAATCTTTTAACCCTGAGGAAGCCAGACACATTCAGGGCTTTGACAGCACAAAGTCTTCATTAGGTAAACTGGACTCCTTTTCCCAAGAGACCTTATCTGGTCATCTAAGTAAAATAGCCATTTCATTTTCTCTTAGGTCAATTTTACTATCTTTTATTTGACAGCCAGCTCAGTCTCTGGGGAAATCTGTGGGTGATTTGAGTAGTAACAGCAGCAACATCACCGTTATAGTAACGGTGCCTTGCACGGCTCTCGAATGCATACGAAGTCCTTTATAGACCCTGCCATCCACACACATCAAAGCAGGGCCAACGCAAGAATGACCATTGCTGTTTCACAAGGAAAGACACTACTGTGTGGTCTTAAAGCAAATGATTTTAAGAGATAAAATTCATTTCCTGGCTCTGTTCACCAAATTGTACCTTCTTTAAACACAAACAGAAATGGTAATATGTTGACAGTTGCATATTCAGAGAAACAAAAGCAGGAGAATTTTACAATAGCGATCAGCACTGCAGCTGCCAACAACTATCAGCTCCAAAAGGAAAATGTGAAGCAGCAATCCCACTTTTCCACAGAAATGAAAGCACATGGAGTTGTCTGTAACCAGCAGAAAGGAAGCTGTGAGGACAGAGGCCGAGTAGGTTGAACAGTAAGGTGCCAAGAAGCCAGAATCCACTTGGTGAGGACAGTGACACCAGCAGGGGGCGGAAGTTTCCAAGCAGTGCAAAAACAAAAACAGAGGTCTGGGGTGGAGTCTGTACAGGAAGAACTATAGGAAGCCAAGATCTGCGACAGACCCAAGAAGCACAGTCTGGTCCTGCAGAGGCAGGAAGAACGGTTTGTGGGAGGGTAATGAACACATTAGATTGGGGGAAAAGATGAAGCTGGGAACCTAAATGCAGAGCTAGCCTTAGGCGACAAATTTTCCCTCCGTCACTCGTCACAGGCCACACCTCACCCACAGGGAGAGGGCAGACACATCTGGGAGTGAGTGCAGGCCTCTCCTCGTCACTTGAGCACTCCTGCTTGGCTACCCCAGGGCCCCTCCCTCTCTCCCCTCTGCGGAAACAGTGGAAACAGTCTGTGGTCGGGGTTGCTGGGCCTTGGCTTTCTGCCCAGCGCTCTGGGGTGCAGACAGGAGGATCCTGCCCACGATGCGGATGTCCTCTTTTCCTTTCTTCCCAAAAGCTTCGGAGAGGTAGGAGGTTTGTCATGGAGGTCAGGGTGTGTGACCTACGACACAGATGATGAGGAAACTGCAGGGGATGAGCAGTGCCTGCCGGACAGACGGCCCAAGGGCCTCGCCTCCCTCCTCTCCAGGGGACGTCTGCTCCCTTTTCACACAGCCCATATAAAAATGAAGCAGCAGCAATTTTTATTGAGGGACCTAAACTGAAAATAGGTTTAGAACATAATTTAAAAAAATAAAACAGCAAAAGTAGCAAAAAATATATGACCTTTTTAAAAACATTTTCCTTTTTTTTTCCTTTTTTCTTTGTTTTTAATATATAGCAACTGATGCCTCCAAGCCACCAGGAGCATCTTACCCAATGGGTAAATCTCTGGTAACGACCCTTTTAAAAAGACATGTAAATATATACTCAGATTTATACACTTTGTGTTTTCTTCATAGCTATGTACAAAGCCCCCAGTTCAGGGCTGGGCCCCAGGGCCACATCGCTGCTCCCAGTCTTTGCCCCACCATCCTCTGGTACCAGGTATTTGGTCAGCAAAGCAAATTAGTATTGGAATTCTTAAGCCACTGGCACCATCCATCTGGAGCAGAGTTCACCTTCAATTGAGGCCTGAAGCAGTGACCTCCTACTCTAGTAGCCCTGAGGACAAGGCACCTGCCACCAGAATGCAAGGGGCTGACGGCTAAGGTGAATCACAGAACCAGTACCAGCATCTCAGGAAGCTCTGCCCAGTGCCTTCTCGTCTCCCCACCCAGCCCTCCAGGTAGTGCCAGGGCAGGGAGGGAGCTTTGGTCCGACACTGGGGGGAAGGAAGTGGCCCCTGGCTGGTGCCCGTCTTTCTGCTCCTCTCTCACAAGCAGGTAGAGAGGAGGAGGAGGAAGAAGGAAGCCCAGCAGAGGGAAGGCAGGCCACACAGGAAGGCCTTGACAGGTGGCTGGCCCTTGCCAGCAGGAAGGGGCATGGGGACAGGCAGTGAGTCTGGCAGGGAGTGTGGATGAAGGGTTCAGTTGATGATGGGATCTGGAGCGGTGGTCAGCGCCTTTTGAGTCCACCATTGGCAAGCTGGGTCGGGTGTCGGGGCAGACAGGGCTCCTCAGGCAACGGCTCATGAGAGAAGACCGAATCCTCCCCTGAGGAGCAGGTGGAGCTTCGGGTGTCAGGAAAGCCAGGTGAGTACTGGTCCAGGGGCATCGACAGGTCCAGATACTCCTGTGACAGGTAAGCAGAGGGGCTGTAGGGCCATATTCACCAAGAGGCACCCATGTGAGATGTGGATGTCTGGCCCAGGCATCCTTACCTGGTTGGAGGTCAAGGCCACAATGCGGTCCAGGTCTTCTACCAGCTGCTTGAAGGTGGGTCTCTGAGAGGGTACTGCATGCCAGCAGTCCCGCATCATCATGTACCTGCACACAGCACAGCGGTGTGGAGGGCGGCCTGGAAGGCCACTTCTTCGGGATGCACAGCCCTCTCCTCCCCGGCCGAGCTCGGGACCTCAGGTTTATTCCCTGGCTTACAGCTCATTGGTGCAGTTACTGGGCTTGTCCATACGATGACCCTCCTTCAGCAGCTTGAAAAGCTCCTCCACAGGCACCCCAGGATATGGGGAGCCACCCAGTGTGAAGATTTCCCACAGGAGGACCCCAAACGACCACCTGTATATCACAGAAACTGCGACTCAGTGCAGAGCCCGGCCACCCACTCTCCCATCACCCCTGCCTGACTCAGCCCTCCCTCCAAGGGGAGTACCAGCTAAGGCAGGCTCAGGCTGCCTTCGGTTCCTCCCTCCGAGATGGGCACGCTTATCCATCCAGGGACCCAGAACCCAGCTGAAACCCTCTTTTCCATATCCCTGGCAATTCCTTATTTCAGACTCACACATCACTCTGGTGAGTGTAAATCCGGTCAAATAGTGCCTCGGGGGCCATCCACTTTACTGGCAGCCGGCCCTGCAAGCAGCACAGGGAGAGTAAGGCCAGCTCAGGGCAGTGGGAGGACAAGCAGGGTGCAGGCAGGATGGGACATGTGTGGGGGTGGGGGGGGGGGGACACATGCATCTTCAGCCCATCCTCCCACCCAGAGAACCTGGCTGGGCTACTGTGGAGGCATCTACCCGGCAGGGCTGGTGGAGGGGCTCCTGGGCAGGGACGGCCCAGCGGCACGTACATTGGTTGTCTTCTTATAGTAGTCGATGTGATGAATGTCTCGGGCCAGGCCGAAGTCTGCGATCTTCATCACATTGTCCTCCGTCACCAGGACATTCCTGGCGGCCAGGTCTCGGTGGATGCACTGCAGAGGAGGCGGGCGCAGGTGGGGGCGCTGGCCCTGAAAGGCACGCTGCTTCTCCGCAGTGTTTTGCCCTGCCCCTGTCCCATCCCACCACACATTCTGCAGCCCATGGTGGAGCCCCGACCTCACACTGCCGGCCATACCACTGCGTGCTCCCAAGTCTCCCCTTTACTCCGAATACCTATAGCTCTGGGCTTCAGAACCTCTTACCAAAGCCTTTATACGCCATTTTTTCTAGTCCCCCAGCTCTGAGCTTTTGGGTTTTCACCAAAAAGCTGACCCATTAGGCCTGTGTTTGGTCTGCCTGGTGCCAGCTCTGAGCCCTGTCCCCTTGGCACAGCACAGCCACACTGGGTTGGGGCTCAAGCAAAGCCACTGCTTTGGTGAACCAAGAACTATCCGTGTAACACTTGCACAGATGTGACTGTCTCACCTCCTTATCAATTGTTACTTTGTATTTGAAGAAATAGTTACCTGAGGTCACGCAAAGTGGTAGAGCACACATCTAAACAGAATTCAGTCTGATCACAAGGCCACTGCCTCTAGGCTATACCAGCTTTCCTGTCTGAGGTCCCCAGGACCTTAGGACAACCCCTGGGACTGGTGCTCAATAGAGCTGCAACTCTCCTGGAGGATGAAAAGTCTCTAGTTGGGGTACTAGGAGCTCAGTCCCACCCTGACCTCACCTGGGAAACTCAGGCTCCATACCTTCTTGGAGGCAAGATATTCCATGCCTCGGGCCACCTGGTAGGCACAGGATACCAGGTCCTTGGAGGAGAGCTGCTCCTCAGGGTTATGGCTGGGGTTGTAACAGTATTCCAGCCCCGGGGGCCGCCGGGCCTGCAGATACTCCCGCAGGTTGCCCTTGGAGGCATATTCCACGATGACATACAGAGGACCTGTGAGCATGGGGAGGAGGGGCAGCAGGTGAGCAGGCGTGGCTTACCCTGGAGGAAATCTACCCCATGTTACCCCACTTGCCCAAGCCCTGGTCTTATTCTTCCTCCTTCCACCGCTGGAGAGGAGCAGGGAGTCTACCACCACCAAAAATCAGACACATTCTTTCTTGCACAGTCCAGGAAGTTCCCAAACCAAGCTGGATGTGGGAGCCCCAGTTCAAGCCACTGTCACTTTCCTGTTCGAGTCTCCACAATGCCTACGAATCTTGGTGCCTGTACTTTCACATCAGCACTCACAGGATGCCAGCCTGCCACCGTTAAACTCGTCCCTCTTCCCAATCTCTTCCCTGGGGCAGCCGAGAGTCCCTGTCACACTACCCACCGCACATTCCACGCAACCTGCCCCGCAGGGGAGCCGGCCAGCTGCTGCCTACCGTCCTGTGTGCAGGCCCCCAGCAGGTTGATGATGTTTTTGTGCTTTCCAATCATCTTCATCATCTCCATCTCAGAGATCAGGTCTGACAGGTCCTTTTCTGTTGCATCAGCTTCACATGCAAACCAGAAAGGGGTGAGGCTTGGATACTTTGAGAGGGAGGAAGCGTGAGGACAGCAAAGTGGAGGGAGGTGGAGGGTTGAGCGTGTTCCAGGAGCCCTTTCTCCAGCTCATGCTCCTCCCCACCCTTTCATTTTCCCTTCCCTCCACTGGGAGCTCATGTTGCCTACGTGGGAGTGAGGGGCCACTAGTCACGGGTCTAGAGAGAGCACTGGAGCACAGCCCAGGTGACACCAAGGCCAAGGTGAGACTGTAGCGATCCTGGGTGCAGAAGGCCTCTCCTCTCCCAGGCTGTGCAGAAGGGAAGGGCTGCTGTGTGAGGACAAGAGTCACTTACACTTCAACATCTTCACAGCCACTTTGGTCACACGGTTGGGTTTGTCCTTGTCCAGCCCAATGGCTTCCGCCAGCACCACCTGCCCAAAGCAGCCCTCTCCCAGGGGTTTGCCTAAGACCAGTCTTGGGGGGAAATGGAAAATGCTGTAAGTTAGAGCTGGTAAAGATCACACTTTCACAGGACCCCACTGCCACCTCTCTATATTTTGCCCAACCAAGAGCAAGAAGTGGACAGCAGTATTTCTGGAGGAACCTCATGCACCTCCAAAAGCAGCAGTACATACAACTTCAGCCATCAGAACCACCCAGGGGAATCCTCCTAAAGCTGGGCGTTAAGAGTGGTACCTGTCCCGGGGCAGCTCCCATCGGGGGTCTTCAGGAAGCTCATATTCAGAGACCCCAGCTAGCATTGGGGTCCCACTGGAGGAGAGACGTGAGGGCCGGACCAGAAGAACTCCAGAGTTCATGGATGCGCTGGAGTCAGCTGACACCTGCAGGGAAGAGTGGGGTCACCCTTCTAGCAAGGCACACGGTGGGGTGGGGGTGGCTGACTCCTTCAAGTCCCTGAGGGGCTTTTCACCAAGGCAGAGGTGTATCTGATGTGCTTTCCCCCGTCAGATTGGGGGAGGTCAGAAGAACCAAGTTCTGGCTCTGATTTCCACTACTGATCAGCCTTTGTGGGCTTTACACCTCTTACGGCTCGACACTTTACAGCTTATCACTGCATTAACAACCCCATTTGTGCCCCGGTTCTTTGTGAAAACCTTGCTTTAGGTTATGGGCTCCTGGTCCCTACAGCACCCACCAGAGCCAGCACTGTGCTCTGCCTGAAGTTTACCCCTTCACACACCCGCATCTTCTTCTCAGGAGGGAGAGAGCGTCCAGGCACTGACTCTCATCCTCTTTTCCATCCTGCCCTGCGCATCTCTGGCTGGCCCTGGGAACAGTCTGAATGCAGGACAACAGCTATACACTGTCCTGCCAGGACTCTCTCCCAACCTACTGCCAAGGGAGTGCAGCCTTGGAGCTAGGGCTTGGGGAGTGCAGCAATTCGTGGGCCAGGGCAGCAGAACCCTCCTGCTGTAGGGGTTGGGCCTGCCTCAGAAGTTGGAAAGCAAAGCCCAAAGCAGACTAGAGACTGCAGAGTGCAGGTGTAAGAGGACCCGGGGGTGTACTCAGAGGCCTGGGGAGGACGTGGCAGCAAGCATGCGAATCCCCCATCTACTTTCTGTTACCTGTCTGCGCAGAGGGATGCTCTTGGCCAGCTTGTGCACGGCCATCTGGCTGTGGAAGTCACTCTTCTTGGTGCCACTCTTCATCTTGTAGACGATTACAGCACCCACCATGCAGGAGATGAGGAAGGCCCCCGTGCAGTAGATGATGATCTCCAGATAGAAGGGCGAGGTCATCACGGCAGGTCTCTCCTCCAGGGCTGGGTCAGTGTGAATAGGGTGTTAGCAGGTTCTGGGGACCATGTCCACGAGGGCCCCCACTCTGTAAGAAACTCATCTTCTCTGCCCTGGGGGCTTTACGGGAGGATAAGACCCAAGCAAGGGCCTGGCAAAGACCAGACCCTGGCACAGAGATCAGATGTCTTGTGATCTTTGAGCCTTCCTTGAATGACTCAGAAGCCTACGAAAGGATGGACTCCAGCGGTGGTGAACCTCTGGCACAGTGCCACAGTGGGCTGTTTGTTATCACTGAAAGCTCTCAAAGGTTCGCCATCCCTGGACTAGACTATCTTGCCATGCACATTCCATCCTCATCCTGCCGTGTGGGACAGTATTAGGTACCGCAAGTCCCTCCTAGAAGACACCTTCCTTAGCCTCCTCATGGAAGCAGGGCCCCTTTCTCACCACTGTGGCACACACTTATTACATGGGGACAGATGGGCTATTTCTGAGGAGGCCCCACCTGGTGTACAATATTCTTAGGATGAGGAAAGAGGAGAGGAGGACCAGTCTATGTCCCGATGAAACATCCCATCTCACGTCTGTGTCACCTCTGTCAGGTCAGACATGTACCTGGCCAAACCACAGCCACAGTGATTGAATTCCAAAGACACTTGGATTGCTTGAGATTAAAAATATTTTTTGTCATTCTTAAGAATTCTACGGGCCCTAAAAGACTTTTAAAATGTAAGAAAATGGGAGGCAGATGGAGGGGCATTATTTCCTTCTTCCCTAACCTTCCATGCAGAATTCACACCCATCCCCACAGAAGCCATGTCACCGAGACCCTTTCCCTTCAGCAGGAGGATGGTGCCAGCTTCACAGATGCCCTGAGCCCTGCCAACTGGCCGGCCCTCCCCTTTCAGCACAGCACCAGCCCCGGGGTAGGTGGCTCTCAGGCCCTCCCAGAGGGGTACAAGGCTTGACAAAGAGACAGCAGAGCTGAGCGTGGGAAAAGTGTTCTGCTTTTTAACTTTCCCCAATATTAAGAAACAAAGATGACTCACTGGGAGCACAGACAGGACAGACAGGGACAACGATAACAGAACGCTTCTCTGCCACAAGCAGGGCATGGAGAGACTGCCGGACAAGCAGAGTAGAGGGGTGAGAGAGACAGGAGAAAGGAGAGCAGTGTCTACAGCCACAGCAGAGAGCAGTACCTGCACCACATGCAGGACACTCAGACACAACCTCGACCAGTGCCACCCTGCGGTCACAAGCCTGCCACCCTGTGCAGGCTGTGGGCTCCTTCCTTCCTGACCCAGCACAGACAACTCTCTCCATGGGGCAGGAGGGATGTGGCATCCAAGAAGTAAATGGGCACCCCCAAGCCTCCCGTGGCCGCGGGACAGGGCATTCTCACAGCAGCTCGAGTTTACGCAGCCTATGTTGTGACAGAAGACTGCAGGACTGAAGGGCAGGCCAGCCCTCAGGTCGAGCGCCTGTGTTCCAGGCCAGCGGGAGTGGGGTCCATTCTGTGGCCCTTGGGACTAGCCAAAAAGGGTCAGGTAATCCAGACCCCTTGTGCCAAGTGGGTGTGACAGCTGCTGGACCCAAGGACGGAAGGAGCCTGGCTTGGAGGAGAGCCCAGCTGCAAGGTAAATCCAGACCCCATGCATGCATCACTTTGGCCAAAGGAGAGCCGGACATAGGTCCTGTGGGAGGTCTCTGTGTTTCTGCAAAACCAGGACCCTTCGAGTGGGCTGAGAGGACTCAGCCCTTGGGTTGGACAGAAAAGGGCACACGACAGGTGGGAGCCATCCCTCTGTCCATTGCTCCCAGCGCGGGTCTCCCCCGGCCCCACAATGCATGCTCCCCCCGTGCCCGTGGTGAGGGCAGGACATCGAGAGGAGAAGTACAGTGTGTACCTTCCAGAACGGTCAACCATGCAGAGTGATGGGAGAGTCCGATAGAGTTACCCGCCAAGCATGTATACTCCCCCGCGTCCTCAAAGGAGACATTCCTTAAGTGAAGCACTTCCATCTCCTTGTCGGTGGTATTAACTCCAGCAGTCTAGAAGAGACAACGGGAGCAAAATGGACAAGCACAGGACATGAGACCTCAAAGAGACCAGAGAAAGGGGTGGAGTGAGAGAAGGGACACGGAACCAGAGGAAGAATTCTCCCCAGCATCTCCTTTGCAACAAGGAACCAACAAAACCACCAGGCAGCGAGACCTGTTAGAGGAAGAGAGTGAGGCCCTGGAGGAGCTCCCGGCGGACCTGAGGAACGAGGCAGGTTACGACCCTTCACCACGCTGCCATCCCTGTCCACCCAAGCATGCGCGGCGGGCGGCATGGAGAAATAAGGTCTGGCGGCGGGGGCTGTTTGGTTTTAGAGGGCACACACAGGAGGGAAGGGAGGGAGCTGCAGCCTGTCTCTGTCTATCTGTCTGTCTGTCTCTCTCTGGGCCAGCAGGGCCTGGCCTCCAAGGGAACATTCAGTCCCTTTTTCTCATCCATCACTCAAACCTTCAGTCTGAGGTCTTGTCCCTGACACTACTGGCCCATGCCCCAGCATCCAGGCACACATACACACACAAGCTGAGGGACACACAGAAGGCATGGAGGGAACCGGCAGACACCAACACAGGACCGAACCAAACCAAACCAGCCTCCCAGGCCAGGGATTTTTCCATGGCTCTGGCACAAAAAACGCAGAAGGATCACGGGGGAGTGGTGCTGGTTTCCCCGCCTGCCCCTGCCATATGGGGCCTAAGTCAAGTTCCCAGCACAGGGGCCCATCCGTCTCGCCATTACCTTTCGCCACAGGTCTGGTGACAGTGAGCCACGCAGACTGGTTAGCTTCACCAATATAATTGGAAACCTTACACACATACTCCCCGCTCTGGGCCTCTGTCACATTGAACAGGGTCAGCACCTCCGCATCCGAGCTATTAATCCCCGAATGCTGGAACAAACCAACGACACACCAGTCAGTGGGGCAGACACTGGGATGCAGCCACTTCTGCTCCCATGTGACTTGCAGGTGGGCCCGGGGAGGCGAGGCAAGGGAGACACTGAAATGTGTCATCTTCCCTTTGGAGCAGGACAAAACAAGTTGGCTTCCAAAGTCCAAAACATTTGTTTGAAATAATAAAAAAGAAAGAAAGAAAGAAAAAGAAATCACTGCCCCAAAGCAAATTCTCTGTACATATCAGCCTGGAGCAGGGATTGCGCCTGTGGAGGGCCACAGCCCTCTTTCTGCACAGCGGTTTCTGCACCAGTGGCAAAGAGAAGGGACAGCTAGTAAATCTTTGGGACAGCTAAGCCAAGGGAGGACAAGGTCTGACTGTGGGACAAGGAGGTAAACCACTTTCCCAGCTTTTGGTTACTTCCTGTTGCAAGATCCACTGGCGACTTAGCTATTACCTTCCCTGGATTAATGGAGCGTTCAGGGACAGTGAGAATCTGGGAGTGACGGAAAAAGGAAGAAAATGCCATTACTCCTCTGCTTAGGATTTATATGCGGCATTTGCTTTCCCAACTACTTAAGCTGTGTTCCTTATCCCAGGTGCCAAAAGGTCATCACTTGGAAAACAAGGAGGGCCAGGACAGGACTGCTTGCTTGCTGAAGACCATTTGGTCTTGGACAGTGAGTAAGCAGGTGTCCAAACACCTGCCTGGAGGAGCTGACCCAAAGTCCTAGAGCACTCTCAGAGTTCCTAAGGAACCCCGTGGTTCACTCCTCAGCTGTGCCTAGCTCACCCTCACCTATCCTGTCATTAGTCCTGGGGATGTGGTCAGATCCCTACCAAGACGAAGTGTGCACCTGACGGGCGAGGGCTGAGTCCCAATCCCAGCCAGTGCTCCTGACCACAGGAATCTGAGCCCCTAGAAGGTACTGGTTTCCTTCCCAGCACAGTGGCCCATTAAGACTGGGGTCAAGATTACCTTTAAGATCTGAACATAAGGCAGGTTGTCCGGACCAATCTTACTCCCGTTCACTTTGATGTGTTTCAGCCACTGGATGTGGGGCTGTGGGTCACTGTACACCTTACACATGAACTCCACATTGCTGCCCAGGGCCACTGTCTTGTTGGCAGGCAACCCTGCCTGCAGGATAGGCCTGTGAGGGGACCGCTCTATGGAAGAAGAGAGAAAACAGGCTCATCAGACCTTGCCTGAGCAGGTCCTGGCTGGGACGCTGACAGAGGATGTTATCTTAAAGAGAGGAGCTCCCGCTTTTCTAGTGCTGGACAATGGCCTCTGCACTGCTCTGCTGAGCCCTGTTAACCTGTATGATTCCAGCCTCAAGCCACCAGGAACCTATTCTTCAAAGGAATGAATACATCTACTTTACAGGCATAGTAAGTCTCTCGCTTAAATGGAGAGCCTATAACTTAATCACATCTCCAGATTTTGGCCTAGTCTACTTCTCATCTAAAATCAGCCACTTAAAACTCCTGCTGCCCCAAGGATGGCCCAGGAGCAGCGACGGTGTGTCACCTAGGAGCCTGTCGGAAATACAGAATCACAGACCTTAGGCTAGACCTCCTGGGCTGGTCTTCTCAGACTATCATCAAAGCCAAGGCAGCACGCTGCCCAGGAGACGGCACCTTCCGATCTCCGGAGCTTGTGAAGCAGAACCTGTAGAAGGGCCAGGCACGGTGACAGCCCACATGCCTCCTGGAGTATCCTGTGATGTGGACCTGGGCACCCTGTGTGAGCTCTCGTGTCACCTGGCTGGTCTGATGAGAGACTGCATAAGAAGTACTGGGAGCACATTTCAGGAACCCAGCATATTGCCAGCCTCGGTAAGCAACAGTCTGACCATCACCGCAGCCGTCAGCTCTTTCAAGAAAGACTAGCAGCAGCACTTTGTTTCACGGTGACATACAGTTTTGAAACAGTATTCCTGCCTGGCCCTCTTCCTATTTTACAGATGAAAAACAAAAGTGAAGCTGAGGCCCAGGACGCGAAGAGACTGCTCTAGGCAATACACCTAGTGAGTGCCAAGTGCTGTTCTGACTGCATCCCTGGGTCTTGGGCTCCAGGCTGGCCTTGCCTCAGCACCCCTCCCCCAGCGCACGCCTGCACTTGGCCTTCTTACCCACAACATCGAGCTGGTAGGTGTGGTTGATGCTTCCATATTCATTCTCCACGATGCATGTGTAGTTGCCCTTGTCAGAGGGCACCACGGAGTCCATGATGATGCTCCAGGTGGCATAACGGACCTGTGGGGACACAGGCCATGGCTCCAGTGGGGGTCTGGAGGAGACTGCAGGGAGGAACCCAGGGCAGCGCTGGGACCCAGCTGCAGTGCGAGGCAGGCCGGGCCAGCTCTAGTCCCCACTGAGTGCGTTTATACTTGGGAAGGGCCTGTCTGGCTAACCGATGGATGGGTATGTGGACTTTGGATGTCTTCACCCCAGCATTCAAGGCCAGCTGTGATCTGGACAAACACACTTCTGATGCTCCCAAACTCACCAGAAGCCCTGGACTCTGGGCTTCTGTCCACTCCACTCCTGTGCTTGCAACAGTTCTGCTCAGAGGCCAGCCCTGGCTGCCCCTACATCTTGTCTCCAGACTGGTCTACCCTCCAGCCCAACCTCTGCTTTGGCCTCCCTCCATCATCTCTGCTACATGCTGACCGCAGTCTGCTTTTTATGATCACTGCCCATTTGCCACCTTAGTTTTGTTCTTTTCTTGTGCTACTGGAGATGGAACCTAGGGCCTCCACACTGAGCTATGTCCCCAGCCCACCCCCCTTTTGAGACAGGGTCTTGCTAAGTCACTAAACTGCACAGGCAGGGCTCCTACTCACCATGAGGCTGCCTCAGCCTCCCCGAATGCTGGAATTACAGGTGTGCGCCACCACACGTGGCTTTTGATTTCTTACACTAGAACATCTTTAATGAGCAGGAATGCTGTCCTGCCCCATCTGAAGCACAGTAACTCACAGAGGGCAAGCACTTGGTGAATTAATTTAAAACTTTTTCTTAGTGGTTGCCCTGGTGGTGGACACCTGCAATCCCAGCTATTCAGAAAGCTGAGGTAGAAAGATCACACATTCTAGGCCAGCTTGGGTAACTTAGCCAGATCCTGTTCTAAAAATTAAAAAAAAAAAAAAAAGCTATAGCTGAATACTAGAACACTTGCTTAGTATGTAAAAGGCCATGGGTTTAATCCCCAGTACCACAACAAAACAAAACAAATTTCTCTATTCTTTCAGATTACTTCTGTTTTTTTCTTTAATATAAAAACAGCAAAGCAGCCAGGCATGGCGGCACATGCCTGTAATCCCAGTACTCTACAGGCTGAAGCACGAGGATTGCTCCTTGAGTTTGAGGCCAGCCTTGGCTACATGGTGAGTTCAAGGTCAGCCTGGACTACACAGTGAGACCCTGTCGAGAGACAGAGACAGAGACAGAGACAGAGACAGAGACACAGAGAGAGAGAGAGAGAGAGAGAGAGAGAGAGACAGAAAGGAGAAAAACATTACCCTTACATTTCAGGCTCAATAGGTAAGTGAACAGATTAGATGCCTCCCACATGACCTAATATAGGAGATGGTACAGTTTAGTGTAAAAATGGTAGGAGAACTAGGGTTTAAT